GGGTTGTAACCAAGGAGGCACAACAGGCTTTGTTGCTATTACAAAAACACTTGGAGCAAGCTCACACCCAACAAATTGATTATGATAAAGATCTTTTGTTTATTGTCATGACCTCCAAATTTGCTCCCACGGGGGTCTTTTGGCAGGATGCTCCTATCCTTTGGGTTCATTTACCGATCTCTCCATCCAGAATTGTTGTTGCTTATCATGAATTAATATTGCAACTTCTCTGGAAAGCTAGACATCTTAGTATTCAGACTTTTGGTAAGCAACCTGATAGTATTATTCTTCCATATACCAAAGATCAAGTAGCTCATCTCATAGAAGGATTAGATGAATGGAGCATATTTTCAGCCTCTACTACAGCATCATTTTCATCTCACTACCCACAGCATCAGTTACTGCAGTTCTTCAAACGACACCCAGTTATTTTTCCTTGCATAGTAAAACAATTTCCAATCTCCAAAGCCAAAACAGTTTTTACGGATGGCTCTCTGAATGGTAATGCTGTCTTAATCTATGATGGCCATAGGAGCCGTCTCCACATAGACAGCTGAGATTATTGCAGGTATAATGGCCTTACAAACCTTTCCCGATGAGCCTCTTAATCTTTATACTGATAGTGTTTATTTAGCTCAGATTTTTATCCAACCCTCGAGGATTAAAACCGAACCATATATGGCAAATGGATGTCACTCATCTTCCTTCTGCAGGATCCCAGAAGTTTCTACATGTTTCTATAGATACCTATTCAGGAGTAATTTTTGCCTCCTTGCATGCAGGAGAACGCACGATTCATGTTCAACAACATTGTCTTGCAGCCTTTGCTTACATGGGCTGCCCTACTCATATAAAAACTGATAATGGTCCTGCATATACAAGTTCTAAATTTGCCACATTTTGTGCTTATTATAAAATCACTCACTCCACTGGCATACCTTATAACCCCCAAGGACAAGCCATTGTGGAACGTGCTAATCAACTCGTAAAACAATACTTTCAAAAAATAAAAAAAGGGGAATATTGTCCTACGCCTACTGCACAACTGTCATCCATACTCTTTATTCTAAATTTTTTAATTGTGGATAAAACAGGACAAACAGCAATGGAACATCATCATTTGTAAATCCGCTACACCGTTGTTAGCACGGGTGAGGGGGGCTGTTTGTGTTTTTCCCCCAGGTGCTGATAAACCTATCTGGATTCCTGAAAGATATTGTCGAACGATCAACCCCCTGGAAGACCATGGAACATCTCAACAAAATAACAAAGGTGATGATCCTCATCCTTCTGACACAGACATGGAGCATACAGGGTAATGTAACTGCTTGAAGTCTAGTAAAAAACCCTCCCATATTAATGGCAGTCGGATTGCAAAGTTTATTATTTCCATCCCTACATGTCACTAACTATACGTTAGGATGGTCTGCTAGCAATGTCTGAATTCAACAACAACAATCAATCAATACTACATTTTCCCTTGTAGAAACACTCTGTTTCATGAAAAGACCTTTTCCATAATAGAGTTCAAAATTTAATCAGAGATGGTATACTCCCTGCTTCTCACTGCTGACCAAGCAATACAAACTATAATCTACCTAAGGTGCTATTGTGGGGAAACTGTATCTTTAATGTTGGAGAACTTCTCATAAAAGACAATAACACAACCCAAATGCGATGGTTTGGGCTAAAACCTTGCTTTAAAAACTCTACTAACAATAAGTGTAATTATTTTTATAGGGAACCTAACCAACTTGTTACACTCGCGTTTGCTAGAATCTATTATTGTGGTTCTTTTACATGCCTTGATGCTACCCCTTCTGATACTTCAGTAAGGTTCTAGTCCTCTCCCCCTTTTTCTTTGTATTATGGAACATAACTGCTAACACAACTTCGGAAGAGGTTCTTAATTGTTCTTACAGTAATTGTGTCCCGAGTAGCTGCTGGAATTCCTCTTTCACTTCTGCGCTGGTTGTGAGGATCCCTACACTTCTTCCTATGTCTGTGAATGTATCAGAAGAT